TTCACTCGAAACCGATCTGCTTCCATTTCTACTTTCCTTAAACGGGACCGGGCTTTTTCCAGTTGTTCAATGGCTGTTTCCCGTAGTTCTTCTGAATTTCGAATAGTTCTCAAGATTCTCTGTTTTCGATTATCTAATAAATCACTTAATGAAAGTAGATTCTCTTTCCATTCATTTCAAAATGTCTATGATCTCTTCCCGAACCAAACATGAATCTTTCAATTCATTTGGCTCTCACACTCAATTCCTTATAGGAAATTTCCCCATATTTATTATGGAATGAGCCTATCCTCTTTTCTCTATTTCGAAAAATCTTGAAAATGATTATCAATACAAGACCCCAATATTTGGAGGACTCTTCTGACCAAACAAATAATTGTCAGCAAAGTTGTTTTTTTTTCTCTTGAAATCCAAAGAATTCTCATTAATTTATACGTAGGTCATCAATTCTGCATTGTAGAAAAGTAGAAACGGAGGCGTTAAACACAACACCTTTTTCCTATTTTTCATCCATCATAAAGAGAATTCAAGTCAGTTTTTCGACATGAGTGTTCTATATCGAAAAAATTCGAATTTCACTATTAACATAGTGGTAGAAAGAATACTAGACTGCGTCGAAACTTCAAACTGGTTAGCTTTAACCATGGTAATGTTCCAAAATTCTTGGTTGATAGAGAATCAAAGTAGATTTCCCAATGAATCGCGAAATGCTATGGTTCTTAACTATTTTTTTTCTCGTTATTTTGTAAGAAGTCATTCGCCGGATCATGCACATTTTCCTAGTTATAACAAAAAAAGTGCAGTTGGTTGTATCCAATCTATTCTTTGAAATAAACAACTCGCACACACTCCCTTTCCAAAAAAAAAATCAATACACCTAGCACTGCACTTAGATTTATTAGATTTGTTGCTAAAATATCGGTATCAAACCCGAAACTTCCGGCGGATGGCCAGTAAATGAAGCAAAGAAAAGAATCGGTTATATTTTTCATATGATCGCATCTCCTCTTATGGATAGACAAAATTTCTTTTTACGATTCCAAGTTTTTTTTATTTGTTTATGATAGTTTATTCTATAATCTAATTTTTTAATTATTTAATATGAATATATCAAATTAGTATATTTTTATTCTTACTAAAATGAGTATATTAGTAAGAATAAAAATATACTAAAATTGGTTAGTCAATTGAAAGAGTCCCTATAAGAATGATACTTCTTAGAAGGAAATACTAGTTCTTATGTCAATTGCAAAATACTTAGTTGGTTTCAACACTTTCTAAATCAAAATTAAGGGGTCAGTGGACTAAAAAAAGGGACGGAAGAAGGCGAATCAGTATGTTAATCCGAATGAAGAAAAAATTGTAGGAGTAAAATCTAAATAGAATGAAAAAAAAGCAAGAGCAGCAACGAAAGTCCATGGAAAAAACAAGATGTATTTTTTTTATTAAACAAAAGGATTGGCAAATAAAAGAGCTAATGCTACAACCAGCCCATAAATAGTTAAAGCTTCCATAAAAGCCAGACTAAGTAATAAAGTACCCCGTATTTTGTCCTCTGCTTCCGGTTGTCTCGCAATCCCTTCTACAGCTTGCCCTGCAGCTGTGCCTTGACCAACTCCAGGTCCAATAGAAGCAAGCCCGACGGCCAACCCAGCAGCGATAACAGAAGCAGCAGCAATCAGTGGATTCATGATAAGTTTCTCCTATTCCAAAGAAAATAAAAAAATAGTTAATAATATAATCAACAAAAAATTTATGACTTAATTATTTCATTCTTCATATTTCTCTTTATCTAGTCGAAGTGTAATTCAAAATTTCAAACTTAATAATTTTTATTGAATTATCCCAATTACTTCGATATTCACTTTTTTCGTTTCTACCCTTGTAGTTTTTTGTGAATACATACAATTTTTGGTCTTATCTTACATTTTAAACTTTTTTTTCTTTGATTTCATTTTTTTAGTCATTTTTTTATATTCAATTCAGAATTACAAGAGATGGAATCTTTTTTTTGAATCCCTACCTAAATTTAGAGTAGTAGCAGAACAAATTTAGATAGATCGTCATATATAACTAATGAATATCTACTATGACATATACATGTGTTTGTTCCATACCGTAAACCAATGAGTTGTATCTTAGATTCAATCAATCATTCTTGGAAATCCCCCAGCTGTCTTATAACGATTAGATTATATATACACCTAGTTTGACCCCCCTCAACCTTTGTTAATTTATTTAATCTCTATTTTTTTTTTTACAATTCCCTGGTAATTGTTTTAATTTTCTTTCTACTTTTTGATTGTTATTAAACCTTTTTAAAATTTCTTTGTATTTTTTTATTAATATTCCTTAAGTATATTATCGCGAGCCACACATACTTTGTTGCGGGCTAAAACACGATTTTGATAACTAGTCAATGATGCCCTTCCATGGATTCACCTATATACGCCGCAGCTAAAGTAGCGAAAATAAGAGCTTGAATACCACTTGTAAATAATCCAAGGAACATAACAGGTATAGGAACTACTAAAGGTACTAACGAAACAAGAAATAGAGAACGAAGTAACTAGGAATAATATTTCGGGACGAGCTCAAAATCGAATCGAAAAGGAACAAACCTATTTTGATTCATTTCAATATGAACAACAATTCAACAGATTCAATTGACTAAAGAATATAACAAGTCTGCAACAAAAGAATATATTGGCAATAAAAAAAAAGAATTTCTACCTAAAAACTCTTTCACTTCACATTGAAAAAAAAAATACATATATATATATAGTCTTGATTTATATTAGTAGTTCTCTAAAGATTTCTTACTGGCGAGCTACGACAATTGCACCTATCAAAGAAACTAAAAGAATTATTGAAATTAGTTCAAATGGAAGAAAAAAATCTGTTGATAAATGAATTCCAATTTGTTGACTAGTACTTATCAAATCTTGTTCAATAATCTGATATCCTAGGAAGACATGATCCCAAGCGGATACTTGGCATGTCCCCCCTCTTCCAGGGCCATCACAAGGGAACCGAAAACCGAGATTTGCTTTATCCGGTATCAATCGTGAGCTACGAGCAAATAGAACACCTTTTAGGAGTATCAATACCGTTACATGAATAGTAAATGCATGAATATGATGTACCAAAAAATCTGCAGTTCCTAATGGAATAGGTAACAAAGCTACTTTACCGCCCACTGCCACTAAATCACCACCGCCCCAAGTCAAACTGGTGCTTGTTGTTGCACCAGGGGCTGTTGTGCCAGGTGCTAAAGCATGAGTATTTTGTATCCATTGAGCAAAGACAGGTTGTAATTGTATAGCGGTATCTGAAAACATATCTTGAGGGCGCCCTAAAGCACTCATGGTATCATTATGAATATACAACCCAAAACTGTGAAAGCCTAAAAATATACACACCCAGTTGAGATGTGATATGATTGCATCACGATGTCTAAGAACACGATCTAATAGATCGTTGTATCGAGTAGTTGGATCATAGTCTCTTACCATAAAAATGGCTGCATGTGCAGCAGCACCAACTATGAGAAAGCCCCCAATCCACATGTGATGTGTGAACAATGACAGTTGTGTACCATAGTCAGTAGCTAGGTATGGATAAGGAGGCATAGCATACATATGGTGAGCTACAATAATGGTCAAAGAGCCTAACATAGCTAGGTTAATAGATAATTGAGCATGCCATGACGTTGTTAGGATCTCATATAGACCTTTATGACCCTGTCCTGTAAATGGACCTTTATGGGCTTCTAAAATATCTTTTATACCATGACCAATACCCCAGTTAGTTCGATACATATGACCAGCAATGAGAAAAAGAATTGCAATAGCTAAATGATGATGTGCAATATCAGTCAGCCATAGACCACCAGTTAGTGGGTCTAATCCTCCACGAAAAGTAAGAAAGTCCGCGTATTTTGACCAATTCAAGGTAAAAAATGGGGTTGCTCCCTCAGCAAAACTTGGATAAAGTTGAGCCAAAAGATCCCGATTCAAGATAAATTCATGAGGAAATGGGATCTCTTTGGGATCTACTCCAGCATTTAGAAATTGGTTAATTGGTAAAGATACATGTACTTGATGCCCCGCCCAAGAAAGAGACCCAAGTCCTAGTAGACCTGCCAAATGGTGATTCAACATGGATTCTACATCTTGAAACCAAGCCAATTTTGGAGCAGCTTTGTGATAATGAAACCAACCAGCAAAAAGCATTAAGGTTGCAAAGACCAACGCACCAATTGCAGTACAATAGAGTTGTAATTCACTAGTTATTCCAGATGCTCGCCAAATCTGAAAAAAACCAGAGGTTATTTGTATTCCGCGGAAACCTCCGCCTACATCACCATTCAATATTTCTTGGCCCACTATTGGCCAAACCACCTGGGCACTAGGTCGAATGTGAGTAGGATCATTTAGCCAAGCTTCATAATTGGAAAAACGAGCACCATGGAAATACATGCCACTCAGCCAAAGAAAGATAATGGAGAGTTGGCCGAAATGAGCACTAAATACTTTTCGGGAAATTTCCTCTAAATCACTAGTATGGCTATCGAAATCATGAGCATCAGCATGTAGGTTCCAGATCCAAGTAGTAGTATCAGGTCCCTTAGCTATTGTTCTTGAGAAATGACCAGGTTTTGCCCATTGCTCGAAAGAAGTTTTTATGGGATCCCTATCTACCAAAATTTTGACTTCTGGATCTACCAAAATTTTGACTTTTGGTTCCGGCGAACGAATAATCATTGAGTCCTCCTCTTTCCGGACAACACATACAAAGAGACCCGCCAACAGAAAACATAATTAATGAACTTATGAGAGATGTTTATATTGAATATCTTTCTCTTCTATCTCCCATATATCTATTCTATATTTTCTTTAGTTATTCACTAGAACAATTATGATCCGAAAGTTAATCCAGGGCAAGTGTTCGGATCTATTATGACATAGCAGTGAGGTGATCAAGTTACCTAGGAAGACCTATTGCTCATGAAAAATACCATTGATAGGTATTTCAATGGAGACACCGGAAGGGGACATTAGTTCGTTCTTTCGTTCTTGAATCGATTGGAATGGAAATGGAATAAGAAATCTATTTCTTCGCCTTTTCGCCAAGAAATAAAAAGTATCGTTCAAAATAGAAGGATACATTAAATCAGAATGATCTGTACATATGATTTGATTCAATATTGAAGAATCGCTAATCCACTTTTCTTTTGTACCAAAAGTATTGAATTTATGTTTTACTTGATCATTCCTTTCTAAAAGATTCGAAATATTTGTTTTTCCATTAGAAAGTGAATCCATGGTAACTTGATCTTGATCCTTGCGAAGTAAAAAATGGATTGTATTAGACCTGCACGACTTTCCTGACAATATCCATAAATGACTTGTTTTTGGTAAGATATGTACATTACTATATATAAATTGTGATGTATGGTACACATCGGTACTCCAATGCATTTCCCCTTCTGAGTCAGAATAAATATGTTTTTGAACCCTCTCTTTCAAATTTAAAGTAGATGTTCCCGCGCGGATCTCCGCAATCACTTGTTCTGATTTTACATATTGATTATTTTGAACTAATAGAAAACTTTTTGGTGGAATAATGACGTTATGTATAATATCGTCACTTTCAATAGTTACATAGAAGTCTATATTACATATAAAAGCAGGATATCCATGACGTGTCCGTGTAGGGTGAACTAAATCCTCATTAAATTTTATTTTTCCATTCGAGGGGGCTCGCACATATTCAGCAGTACCCCCTGTGAATACTCCACCAGTATGAAAAGTTCTTAATGTTAGTTGAGTTCCCGGTTCTCCAATAGATTGACCAGCAATAATCCCTACAGCTTCTCCCAATTCTACCAGGTCCCCATGAATAGGACTCCGCCCATAACACAATCGGCAGATCCAAGACGTATTCCTACAGGTAAAGGGGGTTCGAATAAATATTGGTTGTGTTTGAAAAGTTATGAATCGATTGATAAGTCCAATTCCAATATCTTGATTTCTAACGACAATGCACCGTGAACCTATATATATATCGTCTGCTACTACACGACCAATTAATGTTTGTATCAAAATTCTTTCTGGCATCATTCCATTTCGGGTGTTTACATAAATCCCACGGATGGTACCGTAATCTGTTCGCCGTACAACAATGTGTTGAACCACTTCAACAAGTCGACGTGTAAGATATCCAGCATCTGATGTTCGTACAGCAGTATCTACAACCCCTTTACGGGCTCCGTAGCAAGAAATTATATATTCTGTTAAAGACAGTCCTTCACGTAAATTGCTTTGAATGGGTAAATCAATCATTTGTCCTTGTGGATCTGACATTAATCCTCTCATTCCGACTAATTGGTGCACTTGAGATGCATTTCCTCTAGCTCCTGAAAAAGACATGATATGGACTGGATTAAAGGGGTCAGTCATCCTAAAATTGGAATTCATTTGTTGTCGCAAATATTCGCTTGTAGCATACCATATTTCAATGGATTGGCGTAATTTTTCTACCGCATGGACATTTCCATAATGATTATGTTTTTCCAAAATGGAACTTTGTTGTTCAGCATCTTGGACTAGCCATCCTTTTGAAGGTATTGTTAAAAGATCATCAATTCCTAATGAAATAGATGTAGCAGTAGCTTGATGGAATCCTAGAGTCTTTACTTGATCTAGGATGTGTGATGTATATGCCATTCCGAAATGATCTATTAATCTGCTAATAAGTCGTTTAATGGCAGTTCCACCTATCACGTTATTGTGAAAGACTAGATCGGCCCGTTCTGCCATAAGTACCTCCATATTCCACTCAGTGTTATTCGGTTCGACAATGGATTTGAGTTAATGATTGGAAAACTTCCTTTTCTTTATGTTTATTCACGTAGAAAATTGAAAAGATGCTAGTTGACCTGAATTTACACCAGTATCATAAATTGACTTAGCGTGGATACCAACACTAACCATTTATATGATTAGATACCATATGAATCGGCTCGAGAAAAACCTTGTATAGCTTCTTCGATTTCTCGATAAAAAGAAATATGACCAATAGTGGTTCGAATGTATATACAACGAATTTCTTTTTTTATACTTCTTATTACTAAATAATCCCCATAAATCTCATAATAGGTACCAAAAGATTCATAGTGAACTTCGATAGGAACTTCTCTTGAAGACATAATGCATTGATCTATTCGCCACCGGAGCCAAAAAGGACTATCGAAATTTATTCTTTTCTGTCTATAAGCTCCAATTGCATCATAGGAATTGCAAAAAAAGGGTTCTTTTTTTTCATATACTTCAAGTTATTATTGCTAATTTTTTCATTGTGAGAATTTCGGGAATTAAACGAATTATACCTGTTTGCACAAATACCTCGACGATTTCCGCTAGTTAATACGTAAAGTCCAATAAGCATATCTTGAGTTGGTACACAAATGGGATCCCCAATAGCCGGAGACAAGAGATTCGTATGAGAAAACATAAGTAAACGAGCTTCTGCTTGAGCCTCCAAAGATAAAGGCACATGAACAGCCATTTGATCCCCATCAAAGTCTGCATTGAATCCCTTACACACCAATGGATGTAAACAAATAGCACGTCCTTCGACTAAAATGGGTTGAAATGCCTGTATGCCCAATCTATGCAAAGTAGGCGCTCTATTCAGCAATACTGGATGCCCCCGCATAACTTCTTGAAGTATTTCCCATACAATGGGTTCTTTTTCCCGGATTTTCCTCTTAGCAACTCCTATGTTCGAAGCAAAATGGTTTTGAATTAAACCACGAATTAGAAACGTCTGAAATAGCTCTATTGCTATTTCGCGGGGCAATCCACATCGATGTAATGAAAGTGATGGACCTACGACAATAACAGAACGCCCCGAATAATCAACTCGTTTTCCAAGAAGAGTCTCTCGAAATCTTCCCTCTTTGCCCTCAATTATATCGGAAAACGATTTGTAAACTTTATTATTACCGTCCCTCATTGGTTGTCCGCGGATTCCATTATCAAGAAGTGTATCCACGGCTTCTTGTACCAATTTTTCTTGACACATTACTAATTCCTCTGGTGTAGATCTACTTGTTGTTAATAGATCAATAAGAGTATTGTTCCGATAGATAACTCTTCTATAGAGTTCATTAATATCCGAACTCATTAGTTTACCGCCATCTATTTGAATAATTGGTCTCAATTCGGGAGGAAGCACTGGTAAGAGACATAATACCAGCCATTCTGGTTCTATATTTGTTCGGATAAAATGCTTAGCTAATTCCATGCGTCGAACCAAAAAATTCTTTCTTCTTCCAACTTTTTGATCTTCCCATTCATTTTCATTGTCAGTGGACCCCTCTTCTCCTAATTCTGTCCATTCTAGCAACGAAGAATCCATAATCATTCTTAAATCCAGATCAACTAATTGTTCTCGTATAGCACCCGCTCCACTAGAAATTTCTCTATTTCGAAATGTATCCAAACCTTGAGTAGCAAAAAAGAGTGGGAGACTGTATCTCCAGGATTGGATTTCATAGTCGAATGAACCTCGTAATCGTAAGAAAGTTGGTTTTTTAACTACGGGCCTAGCAAAAGAAAAATTTGGATAGGATCCAATAAGATGGATCTCCCCCTTTGAAAATCGGACATGAGGGTTTCCTCTCATCCGGCTAAAGTATTTACACACAATTAAAGATAAAGAAAGGGGTTTCCGCTTTCATATTTTTGAAAACCTCTAATCTAAAATATAAAATAAAAAAGGTTTACTCTTGACTCAAGTTATCAATAAAGACCAAGCAACATTTCATTGATACATTCTTCGGTTTTTCTGAATTTTTTATGCAATTCGAAATTCCGACAGAAATAAAATGTAAAATTCTTGAGTAGTCTACCTCCCTTCGAATGAGGAATCCTCTAAAATGAAATTCTTAATAAAAAAGGAATATCTTCGACTTCATAAGAGATTTCTTTGTCTCTGTATCATACCGTTTGATCTTTTAGGTCAAGACGTCACCTCGACGGGTATGCCACGATGTCTTAAAGCCTATATGCGATAGATAAACTTCTGCAATCATGATATATTTTATTCTTTGAACATAATTTTAGTTCTTTTAAAATAAAAAAAAAAGAGATGGAATAATGAATTCCACAAAAAAGTATTTTTTTTTTCACAAGGTACATAAAGTATAAAGAGTTTTTTGTTACTGAATTGACCATAGACCAACTCCCTTATTGGGAGTATTCAATACACCCATGAATTGAATTCTGAGCTTCATGTTACTCATCCCAAGAGACATGCCAGATATAGGACATTCCAATTTAATTGAATGGAATGACTCATTTTTTTAATAATGTTCTTCACCGACGATGCGAGGTTGGAGCATGGTTGACGTTGAATCTAAAGGATCTACTGCTGGATAGATACCTTTGGCAGCTAATCCTCTTGATAGTACAGTAGTTGCATCCAAATGTGCAAATGTCGTGGCAGGAGCAGGATCAGTCAAATCGTCTGCAGGTACATAAACTGCTTGAATAGAAGTTATAGACCCTTCTTTGGTAGAAGTAATTCTTTCTTGTAAAGTACCCATTTCAGTACCCAGGGTGGGTTGATAACCCACAGCGGAAGGCATTCGGCCCAATAAGGCGGATACTTCGGATCCGGCTTGGACAAAACGGAAGATATTGTCGATAAATAGAAGGACGTCCTGCTCATTGACATCTCGGAAATATTCTGCCATAGTTAGGGCAGTTAAACCAACTCTCATACGAGCTCCGGGCGGTTCATTCATTTGACCGTAGACTAGAGCTACTTTTGATTCCGCAATATTTTTTTCATTAATTACTCCGGATTCTTTCATTTCCATATAAAGATCATTTCCCTCACGAGTACGCTCACCTACTCCGCCAAATACGGATACACCTCCATGAGCTTTGGCAATGTTATTGATCAATTCCATAATGAGAACTGTTTTACCTACCCCAGCTCCACCGAAAAGTCCTATTTTTCCGCCACGGCGATAAGGAGCTAAAAGATCGACTACTTTAATTCCTGTTTCAAAAATGGATAATTGTGTATCTAACTGTATAAAGGCAGGCGCAGATCTATGAATAGGAGATGTTGTGCGAGTATCTACAGGACCCAAATTATCAATAGGCTCTCCAAGCACGTTGAAAATTCGACCTAGGGTTGCTCCACCGACTGGAACACTTAGAGCAACTCCCGTGTCAATCACTTCCATTACTCTATTTAGACCATCTGTAGCACTCATAGCTACAGCTCTAATTCTATTATTTCCTAATAATTGCTGTACTTCACACGTTACGTTAATTTGTTGGCCAACCGTATCTCGACCTTGAACTATCAGAGCGTTGTAAATATAAGGCATCTTCCCTGGTGGAAAAACTACATCGAGTACCGGACCGATTATTTGCATGATACGCCCCAGATTTTTTTTTTCAAGTGCAGAAACCTCAGTATCAGAAGGAGGAGGAGTTATTGTCATATTAAAAAATATCCATTTTTTTGAAAAAAAAAATTGAAATTAAGAAAAAACTGTTTGATAACAAAGCAAGTTGATCGGTTAATATTCTTAATTTTCTTAATATTTAATAATATATAAAAGAATAAATGTAAGTTAATAATCGATTTTCTTGGTACCATCCAACCAATTCAATTGTTTTTAAATTTCAATGAGTGAATTTTCAAGGTCAACCCAGTCATTATGAAAATTTTAATTGGATGAAATCTTTTGAAAGTCTTTCATTTGTTTATCATTCTAGATTATAGACAATACTATCTATATTATCTATGTAATTCGAACCTGAACTTTGTTTGTTTATGATTCCGTTTTTCTATCTCATTGGTCCTTCTTTTTTCTTTCCTCAGCATAGGATTTATACTATGCAGATTCTTTTTACCAATTTTTCTTTTTATTGGGCAAATTCTGCCGATTTTGACATCTAGGATTTACATATACAACATATATCACTGTCAAGGTCAAGAGTATATTTTTTATTATTTAGATTAGAAAATGAGATTCCAAAATTCAAAAAAAAAAAAATAAGAGACTAAAAAAAAACGGTTGGGTTGCGCCATACATATGAAACAGTATAGAATAATGATGTATTTGCCAAATCAAATATCATGGTAAAATTGAACAATGACCCATTCGGATTAATTGATAATATTAGTTGATGGATCATTTGTAAAAAGGTTTTCTTAACTCCTAAGTTATTTCGAGTAGACCTTGTTCTTGCTATAATTCTTAATTCATGCGTTGTAGGGGGGGATTTATGTCACCACAAACAGAAACTAAAGCAAAGGTTGGGTTCCAAGCTGGTGTTAAAGATTATAAATTGACTTATTATACTCCTGAATATCAAACCAAAGATACTGATATCTTGGCAGCATTCCGAGTAACTCCTCAACCAGTAGTTCCGGCTGAAGAAGCAGGTGCAGCGGTAGCTGCAGAATCTTCCACTGGTACATGGACAACTGTGTGGACCGATGGACTTACCAGCCTTGATCGTTATAAAGGACGCTGCTACGAGATAGAGCCTGTTCCTGGAGAAGATAATCAATTTATTGCTTATGTAGCTTATCCCTTAGACCTTTTTGAAGAAGGTTCTGTTACTAACATGTTTACCTCCATTGTAGGTAATGTATTTGGGTTCAAGGCTTTACGCGCTCTACGTCTGGAAGATTTGCGAATCCCTAATGCTTATGTTAAAACTTTCCAAGGTCCTCCTCACGGAATCCAAGTTGAGAGAGATAAATTGAACAAGTATGGACGTCCCCTATTGGGATGTACTATTAAACCAAAATTGGGTTTATCCGCTAAGAATTATGGTAGAGCAGTTTATGAATGTCTCCGCGGGGGACCACTCGCAATTAAAGATACTTCAAAAAAAGGGTCTACTGCTGGATAGATACCTTTGGCAGCTAATCCAAGAATAGACCCTTTAATAATAATGAGTCGGATGGAGTAGAAAATTCATTGTTTAATCAAATAAAACAATAAAAAATCCCTCCCCAAGCCGTGCATGCATTTTTCATTGCACACGGCTTTCCCTATGTATACATCTAAACCTGAGTTACTTCAGAGGAATCTTGAAACTCAACTCTAAACTACATGAACATTTCAAAATCCTTTCTATATATATATTGAAATAGATATTTAAGTATCATAACATAACCAATCATTCATCATGGACCAGATCGTTACTGAAAAGAATATCCAAATACCAAATGCGATTTCTATGTAACCGCTGCAAAGTAGAGGAATCTCTTGGAAAAAGAAAAGCAAGAATCTCTTCTTCCTCTGTAAAGAATTCTTGCAAGAATTCTTCTGAACCTGATCTTTTCAAAAAAGCGCGTACAGTACTTTTATGTTTACAAGCCAAAGTTTTAATACAAGAAAGCCGAAGTATATACTTTATTCGATACAAACTTTTTTTTTTGAGGATCCATTATAATAATGAGAAAGATTTCTGCATATTCCCAAAAATCGGTCAATAATATCAAAATCAGATGAATCGGCCCAGACCGGCTTACTAATGGGCTGCCCTAATACATTACAAAATTTCGCTTTAGCCAATGATCTAATTAGAGGAATAATTGGAACTATTATATCAAGTTTTTTGATAACAATTTCTATTAGAAATGTATTTTGCAGCATTTGACTCCGTACCACTGAACGATTTAGTCGCACATTTGAAAAATAGCCTAACAGCTGAAATGAATGTTCGGATAATGGGTTTATATTGATCATTCTGGGTTGAGACCAAACATCAAAAAAACATTGCCATAAATGGATAAAAAAGTGTTTCCATTTATTCATCAAAAAAGGCGCATTCTTTGAAGCCAGAATGCATTTTCCTTGATATCGAACATAATGAATGTTAGGATCCTTGAAGAATGTTAAAGTATACGAAAAATCTTTAGCAAAAACTTTGACAAGATGCTCTCTTTTTGCATAAAAAAAAATTCGCTCAAAAAAAACGCTAAAAGATTTTAATCGTAAATGAGAGGATTTATTACGTAGAAAAACGAAGATAGATTCATATTCACATACATAAAAATTATAGAGGAACAAGAAGAATCTTCGATGACTTTTTGAAAAAGTAGAAATTGATTTTTTGGTAGTAATAAAACTATTCCAATTCCAAAGAAACAGCCGTAATAAATGAAAAAAAGGGGCATCTTTCACCCAGTATCGAAGGATTTGAACTAAGATTTCAAGATGGATAGGATAGGGTATTCGTATATCTGACACATAATTCAAATATGTCAATTTATCCTCCAAAAAGGGAAAAATGGAATGAATTGATCTCAAATTTTTATAAGATTTGATGATTTCTTCCTCCTCTAAGGAAGAGCTTAATTGTAGGAAAAATGGAATTTCCACGACGATGGCAAAACCCTCTGATATTATTTGAGAATAATAATTATTCTTATACCCCCAAAATGGATTTTTGTTAGAATCATTAGCCCAAATGATTAAATGATTCTGTTGATACATTCGAGTAATTAACCGTTTTACAATTAGTAAACTATATTTCTTGTCATAACCTATATTTTCCACAAAAATGGATCTATTCAAATTATGACTATAAGCAAGTCCATAAATATACTCCCTAAAAATAAGTGGGTATAGGAAGTGCTGT